TTTCCCTTTTCCAGCCTTGGAAGCATGCCTTCCTTCTTCCCGAGTACTACACACATCCTCTTTTGCTTTTTCCAAACCCTACTTGTCACGGGTTCTTGTTTATTCCCATGAAGCTATTTACTTCTCTCAAGCCTTGGGGAGAGAGATTGGCCTCCTTATTCAATATTTAAAGCAGCTCAGTTCTTTGATTCAGGGTTTAGAGAGTGCCATAAACTTGCATAGGGAAACTCTTCTCTAGGGTTGTGTAGGGGTGGGAGAATTTGGTTGCCTCTTAATAAAGAAGTAAATAGAGGATTTTCTAAACTACCTCTCCTCCCCTTCCACTCTCCCTGGAAGGACATATTGTTGTCCTACAGAATGGACTGGGTTACCTGTATTTAATATACTCAGCATTCTATTTTCAGTGCCATCACACAGGCTGTCCCCCATGTCTAGAATGCACTGCTTGGAGCCTCACCTTGCCTTCTAATAATCTGGATTTTTTTGGGGGGGTGAGGGGAGGGTCCAGATCTTGGTATAGGGAGCTCCTGTAAAGATATGTCCTTTTCCAAAGCAGGTAGATTAGTCCTTGTTTCCAGGCCTATCACCTATATACTGCATTAAATTCATGTCTTGTTATTATTCTTAGAGGTGGGTTAGTGCAACTTTTAGTCTTAGAGATTTCCCTTGGACATTGAGAGATTCAAGGACTTTTTGAGAGTTCACAAAATGAATTTTTGTCAGAGGTGAGACTGGAACTCAGGTCTTCCAGACTCTGAGGTCTGTTCTCTAGCCATTAAGCTAAGTTGGTTCTTATGCAGCCTCCTTGGGAAAACAAGGATTTCCGATATTTTCAACATTTCCACAGTTGGTGCTTTCTTCCCTCCTAAAATTTTCACTAATTTGCTGATCTGTATACATGCTAAATGCTCCTTGAAGGTAGGAGCTGGTTTTGTTTTTCTTTTTGACTTTGTAGCCTCCAGCACATTGTTTTTACGTAGTGGGTGTCTAACAAATGCTTTCTGGTTTGGACTGGGGTAGCAAAGATGTTCGCTAAGTGCCAGAAGACATCTGAATTCAATTTTCCCCCTCTGGTGCTTATTTACTTTGTGATCATAGACAAGAACTTTAGTTCTCTGAACCTCAGTGTTCTCATCTATCAAATGGGGACAATACTGTATGTAGTATTTACCTCAGAGGATTGTTGAGAGGCTCAAATGAGATCTACATGTAAAACGTGCTATAAACTTCATAGCCTATGTTAATATTAGCTATTCTCAGAGGAAAAATCAGGCTATAACTAATTTATAACTCACTGTATTTGAAGATAATAGCTAACTTTGAAACTCGGAAGGCCTGAGTTCAAATCATCTCTGACATACCCTTGTGTGTGTGACCCTGGGCTCAACCGAACACAATCTTTCAGTATTTTATAATAGTTGATGATAATAATAATAGATAAATATTTTCTTGTTTGATCCTTACAATAACCCCTTGAGGGGGGATGCTATTATTATCCCCACTTTACAGCTGAGGAAACTGAGGCTGAAAGCAGTTAAGGGACTTACCTAGGGTCACACAGCTAAGTAGGTATTTGAGGTAGGATTTGAACCCAGGTTTTCCAACTTCAAGACCAGCATTCTATCTTTTAGTCTCTAAGACTACAAATTGCAGAGAAGGTGCTAACCTGTATCAGTAGATACACCAGAAACCTTGTTCACTATTAGCAAAATAACAAGTTCAGTACCTATCCCCATTCTAATGTCATCAAGCTTGGTCGAGATAGGCATGGATTCTCCAGTGAGAAAACTAAAACGACTGGGCCATCACTGGCAATCATGTCTATTTTCCAGTTTTTAAAACAAGATGAGTCAATTAATAATTTATAAAGACAAAAACGAACAGTCCCTACCTTCATGGACCTTACGATTCAGTAAGGGAGAAAACATGTACGTATACTAATACAGACAAGACATATATGAGGTAAAGGTGGGGTAGGATGAGGGAAGGAGTTATTATCTATAAAGACCAAGAAAGGATCCTGGTGAAAGATGGCACCTGAGCTGGGACTTGAAAGAAACTATGCATTCTAGGCATAAAGAATAGCTATGGAGGACTAATGAAGATTCAGCAAAGAAAAGTGGGGAGTGGTCTAAATTTTCATTCTCTGCTTTTTTATTGCTGATGGGAAAGGACTGCATAACAAAAAAGCTTCCTAATGGAGAATGCTCTATTGACTTTCAGTTTCTGGAATTGTGGCATCAGAGAGTTCTTCCAGTCTTAGGAGGGAAAAGTAGACTCTGTGCCCTAGGATCATCAACTTTCCACCCAACAGAACCTTCCTGTTCATTTAGTCCAAAGCCCTTATTTTACAGATAAGGGCCTGAGGCCCAGAAAGGAAAAGTGATATCCAGAGTCATATAGGTAAGAATAGAACCAAGATTTGAACTCACATTTTTTGACTCCCAATCCATTGCCTCATTATGCCTCATACTCAATAGCTTAAATTAGATCAAAGGATTTGGTTGAATCAAATGGTTTGTAAGATGCCTTTCATCTATCAACATTCTATGATCATTACTAATACCTGTCATTAAGAAACAGTCCTACACATACACTGAAAGTCTATGGGGACCCTCGGGCATCTGACTAGCTCACCCCAAGGAATGTTGGTGGAATGTGTTTGCTGACTGAGTGTCCATTGGGTCCCCTGTTTTTATTAGGGCTCAGTGGTCAGAGGGGCTCAGGCACTGGGCTTTGCCCAGAATGAACAGTGAATGAACTATTTGTCTATAGTTAGACCCTGCTAATAACTACCTCTGTAACCCCAGACAAGTCATTCTGGTGAGGGCGGGGCCCAAGCCCAGATCTTCTGCCCTTTGCCCCAAAGGGAATCTGACTCACAGGCCCCAGACCCTCATCTCCCTTGAAAGCCCTAGCTTACCTTTAGATCTTATTCAGATGCACCTTCAACCCTTGCCCTGAATAGAATCTGGCTCCCTCTTGTCTATAGGTCCCAGAAAGGCCTTCCTTTGTCTCCTTTTGAAAGTCCTAGCCCCACCTTGATTTTGTGCAGATGCCTTTCAAACTTCTGCCTTCCTGTTCCTCCATTATCTATTCCCATTGTCTATTCAATCTCCCGACCTCCCCAATTAGAATTGTTACCTACACCCTTTACCCAACCCCCTTCTCTGGCCACCCAAAGTTACTTTAGTATTTAAGATCCACCTTGGCCCTCATTCAGAGGCTGAGAATCTCTCACTCAAAAGTCTGAGAACCTCTCATGCCCACTTGTCTTTACGGGCATCACCCAGCTGAGAATCTCAGGCCCACAAGGCTGAGAACCTCTCATGCCCGCTCGTCCTTACGGGCGTCACCCGGCCTATATGTTTTACCACTAATAAACTTTTCCTCTGGCTGAAGAAGATTTGAGTTGAATTCTTTCAGACAGGGCCCGGTACCATGATCTTGGGGTCCCAGCATCCCAAAACCCCTAGACCTCTTCAATTCCTCCCCTCTCAGTTTGAATTTCTTCATTAGTAAAACAAAAAGATTGGTGTTCATACTTTCTACGGTTCTGTCCAGCCACTATGATTCAACCTGTACCCCTGTGTAAGGAGTTAGGGGGAGGGAATGACTGGACTGATTACTTTTACTTAGCAATCAGCTCCAGTCTGAACCTCGGTCTGATGCAGAGTTGGCAATCTCCTAAAAGCTGACCAAATTACTAGGATAAATCTATTCTGTCCAATTCAGCCCAGTTTTCTGAACGTAATTTTCTGAAGGAAGAAGGGCTTCAGTAAGTCATAGCAATGAAAGGTATTAAACTGGAAACAATAGTTCTTTTTGTCCACATATTATATATATGTGTGTGTGTGTGTGTGTGTGTGTATATAAATCTTATATATGTGTATATGTATATATGTATACACCATATATATATATACATACATATATACACATATGTGTGCATATGTGTATCTATCTTTTTTTTTTCTTCTGGGAACTAGCGTGATTCAACCTACCCCATTTCCCCATTGGGAAGTGAAATCAAACAGAAACATCAAAGGGGGAAAGGTCAACTTTTGTTCAAGAAAGTAATGATGGTCCTGAACTTTTCATTGCTGTGTTGAGGGGATACATCTCTTGCCTCCCCTCAATGGGGTGACTTGGTAAGAAAGGGGCAAAGATACACTATTGCTAGGGCCTTGCTAGCCTGAGCACAAAGGGCTGTGTCAAAGTAGACACAGGGATCAGTAGTTGACTAATAACCTACATGCTAATAATAACTAGCATTTCTATAGCACTCTAAGGTTTGCAAAGCATTTTACATATGTTAACTCATAATCATTTTATGAAGTAGGCTATTTTGTCTACCTTAAACAGATTAGGAAACTGAGGGACAGAGATTCAAGTGATGAGCTCAAGGTCATGCCACTGTGAAGTGTCTGAGGCAGAATTCAAACTCGTGTCCTCCTGATGCCAAGCCCTAAATGCACTATTTAGCTGCCTTATTATAGGTCATTACTTTTGCTGCAAATGTCTGATAAAATCTTAATCTCCACGTGCCTCAGTTCCTTCATCTATAAAAAAGTGGGAGCTGAATGAGGTGACCTCTGAGGTCCCTTCCATCTGTATATCTGTGCTCCTGTGACTCTTCTACTTACTTCAAGGTTCTATGATTTCACGGGGATTGGTCATCCCTCCACCAATGTAGCTGGTGAACCCACTTCTGGCTTAGGTGTTCTGCCTAGAATTAGATCATATAATGGGCAGATTTCAGAGTGTATCTAGTCCAATCCCCTAATGGAGCTATAGAGACCGGGAAACAAGGGAGATTGACATGTTTGTAGATACACCTAAGCAGAGAATGGATATTCATTTATCTGAGATAGTGTTAGCCCTGGGGCTAGACAGGGGCATGGACTATGTAACCTCTGGAATCCTTCCTACTCTGTTACTCTATGATAGACACAACAGGTAGCAGGAAGAGCCAATTCCATGCCTGGTGTGTGCCTCACCTCCCCCCAGGCAGCTGGTGGAGGCTCCACTGGGGGGTAGTACTTCGGGACATCCCAGGCCACGGCTGCCATGAACCACTTGAAATCCTTGCACTTGAGGTGTTTCCGGAGCTCCTTTTGGGCAGAGATATCACCGGTTGAAAGATGTCTATACTCGGGTCGCCGCTGATAAATATACTCGGCAAATTCATCCATCCAGGTCTCTGCTACACGCTTTAAGTTCTGTGGAGCAGAAAAGAAGCCAGTCAGTCATTCATCCATCAGCCCTGACCTGATTGGGGCCCTAGGAAAGTTAAAAAGAAAAGAGAAAGGAAGCTTGACAATTTTAGCCAGCTTTGGTGGGTGATATATTGAAAGAAATTATTATTTTTCTCTCATATTAATAGTTAGTTATTAAAACTAGGAAGGCCACAGCTTTATTCCCCCACCCTGTTTCCTTGTCCAATCTCTCAAGGGCAGGGCTGAAGGAAGATAGAATTAACATTCTTCCCATTCTGGGTACTACTATTCCACCTAACTAGTTTAGGCTGCGGTGGGGGATACGGATTCTTTATCTAGACTGCCTAAGGCTGGGGGTGGTCTGCGCGTAGAGATGGTCTGTTACTCTCAGCCATTCCTTGAAGTGAGCTCACTTCTCTTGGCAAAACTTGGCAACCTCTCATTAATTGTTTACCAATCAAAGTTGATTGCCACCCTCAGGCACACCCTTCTTCTAAGGTTGTATAAGCCATGAGCCCACCACCTCCATGAGGATCTTTGACTGTCACTGACCTTTTATTAAAAATGTTGGCATTATTAGTAAAATGATTAAATTATTCAGAAATTAAGTCTTGAACTTTTTAAACATCACAATAGGAAAGATTTAAACCTACCGCAACAGAAATGCTTTGAGAAATACAGTATAATCAGCTAATGACCTTATATACTTTGAGTGTAGCAATAATAATGATAGTCTCTGTGTAGTAGATAGAGAACTCTGGTCTCAGAAGATTTGGGTTCAAGTCCCACCACTGCCACATACCAGCTAGGTGACCCCAGACAAACCACTTAACTTCTCAGATCTTTGGACAACTCTCCAAGGCTATAAACTGCAAAGGAGGTGCTGACCTCCATTGGGAGAGGGAGCTCCAGGTGAGGGCAGGTCAATGAAATTATAGATCAAAGGAAAAAAAATCTGACAATAATAGGTTTTGAGGTTTGCAGAACACTTTGTATATATTAGGTGCTGCAACTGCCAAGGGGAGAATTCATTTATCTCAAAAAGTAAAGCTCAAAATTATGCTCATTGGAAGCCCACTGTGATATTCCTGTTAGTGCACAATTGCAAAAGTCTGACTTTCCATGTGGGCTTAAAGTAGCCAGCTTTGGAGGAGAGAGAGCTCTTTCCAGCTCCCAGATTGCCTAAACATCTCCAGCAAACAGGCAGAAATCTGGGAAAGCAGGACTACATATAAGCTTTATTTCTCTCCCTCTAGGTACACACAGATAACTAGGCATTACTAATATATTCAGAACGTTAGATTCTGACACCTCATTATGTACAGTACAGATGCCCGTGACGGGTTCAGTCATTTACTGCAAAGCAAAGTGGAACTCGAGAAGGTTACAAAGCAATCAATCTTTGCTTCTAGGGATGTTTGCATCCAGTGATGGTGTTGAGAAGCTTGAGGCAAGGGAAGGAAGCAGCTTATTGTAGCAGAAAGACAGAGCTGAGATTTAGGAGGCTAATTCCCGCTGCCACTAACTAGATGTATAACGTTGGGCAAGATGCCTCCCAAGGCAGCCTGGTGGTGCAGTGGATAGAGTACTAGACTCCTAGGCATGAAAACTTGAGTTCAAATCCTGCTTCAGGCACTCATTAGCTATGTGACTGTGGGCAAGTCAGTTCTTGGACTTTGTTCACCTATATAATGAATGGGCTGGGCTAGCTGGTCTCTACAGTCCCTTTTAGCTCCAAATCTATGATCTTCTGATCTCTCAACATCTCTTGGCCTCAGTTTCCTCATCTGTAAAATAAGATGGTTGAACTAGATTAGGTTCATTCTCCAAGAGCTCCCTCTTCTTTCTTTCCTCATCTCATTCATCCAAAAACCTTCTGCCACCATCTCCTCCACCCATATCTCCTTATGTAGGCAAACTCCATACCAAGGTAAACCCTGCTACCTGTACAAGTGATCTCATTCCATCTTGTCTCTTCCAGCTGATCTCCTCCTCTATCATTCTCATTCTCTCACTTACTGTCAAGCTTTCTCTATCTATTGGGTACTCCCCCCCTTGATTACAGAAATGCCCACGTTTCTAGCCTCAAAAAACCCTCACTTGATCCTTCCATCCCCATTATTGTCCTATATCCCTTTGCCCTTTGTGGCTAAACTCTTCAAGAAGACTGTCTACAAGAGATGCTTCCACTTCCTCTCTTCTTACTTACTTCTTAACTCTCTACAATCCAGCTTCTGACTTCATCCTTCCACCAAAACTGCTTTTTCTAAAGTTAACAACGATCCCCTAATTGCCAAATCCAATGGTCTTTTCTCAATCTTCATTCTTTGTGACTTCTCTACAGCTTTGGCACTGTTGATCACCCTCTTCCTTGACTCTCTTCTTTCTAGGTTTTTCAGGGTACCGCTCTCTCCTAGTTCTCCTACTACCTGACTGCTCCTCTCCCCTTTGTGGGATTCTCATCTGGGTCATGCTCACTAATTATGGCTGTCACACAGAGTTCTGTCCTAGACCATCTTCTCTATATCTTTCTATACTCTGTACTACCTCACTTGGTGAACTCATTAGCTTCCATGGATGTAATTGTCATTTCTATGCTGATGATTCTCATATCTACTTATCCTAATTAAGCTGTCTGCTGACCTCCAGACCTGCATTTCCAGTTGCCCTTTGGACATGTCCAACTGCATTTTGGGTAGACATCTTAAACTCAACTTGTCCAAAATTGAACTTTTTCTATCTCCCCACAAACCCATCTCCCTTCCAAACTTTCCTATTTGTGTTGAGGGTACCACCATCTTCCCAATCTCCCAGGCTCATCAACTATGTGTCATCCTTGACATCTCATTATCTTACCCCTGTATCCTGTTAATTTCACTTTTGAAACATCTTTCAGTTCGCTCCTCTTTTTTCCTCTGATACTATCACCACCCTGGTGCAGGCCCTTATTACCGATGGCATGCCTCAACTATTGTAATAGCTGCTGGTTGGTCTGCCTGCCACCAGTCTTTCTCTACTCCATTCCATCATCCATTCAGCCACCAAAGTGATTTCCTTAAAGCACAACTCTGACCATGTTGCCTTCCTACTCAATAAACCCCAGTGGATCACTATCACCTCCAGAATCAAATATAGAATCCCTATAACCTAGGCCTCCTCCCTCCTTTACAGACTTTTATGCTTATACCTTATAACTCCCCATCCCCATTTCCCCATATTCTTTGATCTAGGGACACTGGCCTCCTTGCTATTCCATGAATAAGAAATTCCCTCACCAGTCTCTGGGCATTTTCACTAGCTGTTCCTCAAGGTTGGAAAGCTCTCCCTCCTTATCTCTGCCTTCCAGCTTCCTTGGCTTCCTTCAAGTACCAACTAAAATCCATCATCTATAGGAAGTCTTTCCCTATCCCTTTTAATGAAGCGCTATTTCCTACCTATCCTGTATATAGCTTGTTCGTACACATTTGTTTGCTTGCTGCTCTCCCGTTAGATTGTGAGCCCATTGAGGGCAAGGACTATCTTTTGCCTTTCTTTCTATTTGCAGCACTTAGCACAGTGTCTGGCATGTAGCAGGCAATTAATGCTTATTGACTATTGAGATGGCCTCTAAGGTCCCTTCCAGCTCCATATTCCTATCCCAGGATTCAAGACAAACCATTCCAAGTAGTGGAGAATGTGGAGTGTTCTTCCCGACATGATCTTGCCAACTTTAAAGCTCTTGAGCTGTGCTACTCACTGTCTCACAGGATGGTACTTTCTACTCGTATTCCCAATTTTGTTTTTTCCCACTACCAAGCTGATATAAGCACTGGCCTCTTTTAGTTTCTCATTTGTATTTGGGAGATGCAGCAGATAGAACTGGGGACTTCAGCGGAAATCAGACACAAGTGACTAAGCATAGAAATCAATGATGCCTCTATGGGTAAAGTTGTCTTAACTGGTGATGCTAATTCTGATGAATGATAATAGGGATATCAAGAGTTCTAGAGGACGGTCTCCCTACATGTTGGGGTGTATTCCCTATGGAGGATTTATGGAAAGACATGGGCAAGAGACACACAAGATGAGACTGTGTGAATGGGCTGCAATCTGTACCACTGAAGGGAATACTCACATTGGGGGGGGATCAGTCATTCATTCAATAAGCATTCATTAAGCACCTAGAATGTGCCGTACACTGTGCTAAGTGCTGGCGAAACACAAACGGGCAAAAGACAGTTCCTGTCTTTGAGAGCTCAGTCTAATTATAGACCTATTGAAGCACGGAAAAGCAGCATACATGCAAAGAACTGGAAGTTGCAGGGAAGACCAACAGTCAGGCAACGGCTGACTGTTGTGGGATATGATTGTGATGGAATACTACTATGCTATAAGAAATGATGAGCTTGATGATCTTAGAAAGGCATGGATCGACTTGCATGAAATAACGAAGAATGAAATGAGCAGATCCAAGAGAACATTGTATATAGTGACAGCAATGTTGTTTTAAGAACAATTTTGAATGAATAAGTCATTTTGACTATTATAAATACCCAAATTAATTACAAAAGACATACAAAGAAAGACACTATCTGCATCCAGACAAAGAACCAATAAAGTACGTATAGGCTGATTTTACATATTTACATATTTGTGTCTAATGGTAGCCATCTCTAGGGTGGAGGGGAGGGAAAAAAGGAAAAAATAAAGAAATATACATAACTCTATTGTATATTTAAAAAGAATAGCAAGTTGTACACAATAGATTTGCTGTTTCATGTGCAATCATCTTTTTTTTGATTATACTATGTTACAGAAATGTTTGTTTTATTCCATAAATTAAAAATAAAATAAAGAAAAATTCAAAAAGAAAAACTAGCACACATATATATGTATATAGTTCTTTAAGCTTTACAACAACCTTAGGTTTAAGAACCTGTGAGGCACGTAGTATTCATATTATTATTTACATTTTATAGATGAAGACCTAAAGTCTAAGGGAGTTGGAATGACTTGTTAAAGGG